ATAAATTGGCAGAGTTTTGGGACTTTAATAAATATTGGAGCCTAAGGGACTTGAGTTTGTGAGCACAATATCTTGAGCAAATGTGAATGGATTTTGATGAATTTTGCTATGCAGCTTTTAATATCAAAAAGATTCCAGACCTGTTAAAAATGAGCTGATCATACAGTAACTGGTAGAGTTACTGCCAATCGGATAATGCGAGATGGCCAATACTGGCCTCTGTTTTGCTGAGACTAGAACATTTTGACTTCTCAAGATTATCTGCAGCAATTCACTTCTTTATTTGTACAAATGTTCCTTATGACGTTCCGAACAAGTGTTCTTACTTTTTGTTCCAATCAAAAAATCCAACATGGTCATCCTGACCTTTCATTGACTGAGATGTTTTTGACTTCTTCTCAAGAAAGGCTACACAGATTGACTTCCAACTCTGTAGAAGTGTTCCTTATGAGATTTCGACCAAGTTTGTAACTTTTCATGCTGATTTTAAAATTCCAGATGGCCAACCTTGTCTGTGATTGGTAGGACATGTATTACTTCATCTGTACATAATTCATTAAACATATCTTATAATTCATCTATACAGCATGCATGTGTATGCCTGGTATTCAAGTTAGTATGGGTGTATGCCCTCCCTCCAAAGTAACTTTGTGCCAATTTAAAAAAATAAATAACCATGCTACTATTTGAGTATTTGACAATTTACTCGGGTGACTGGGTAGACCCATGAGCCTCTTATTTTTATAAACGTATATATCTTTCCTTAACAAAGGAAACATTGCCTCAAATTAAACTTTTGTGTATATGTCTCTATGGTAAATTGCCTTCTTGACTTCTCAACTTGATTACAAGTCAAGGAAGTTATCTTTTTGCAATTTGTTATGTTTAAGAATATAAATATACGAATGTTTATATACCGTGGCCAAACATGTGGTTTCATGTATTAACCTATAACGTACACTTTTATGCTTTTATTACTTTAAAGGGAATATCCTTTGCTATAGTAAAACATTAAAGCTAACAATACATATTTTCTTTGAATTGAAACTACGCCAAAGGAAAATAGAGGTAATTCCCCAGGGTTTTAACTTCCTGATTGGCAGTAGTTCGGGCTTTTATAGTTGATGGTTTGACAACTGGACGAGTGGGACCGGGTAAAGTTAAATTCGATTTATGGACAGGTAAACTATATTTTTACGTATGTTTGAATGGTTTTAACGGTTAGACATAGTTGTGTAGTTAACTGATCCCTACTGTCAATTTATGTTCACAGTGATTGACCGTTTTCATAGTGTAAACAAATTTGTTAGTGTTCTTGTATGAAAAGGATGTTCGGAATTACAATATATCTGCGTGTGTTGACACTTGTTAATGTAATTAGACAGTGAAATATCTGCTATATAGTATCCCATTTAGTTAAAAACAATACATTGTATATGCATATTTCGTTATGTATTTTCACGTGTTTATAGAACGCATCTACGTAATATTGGTTTGCTTTAAGATTACTTTAATTATAATAAGGCAGTCATGCTGATGATTCGCAATAATTACATACTCACACTTCTCTAGTGTATTACGATTTGTTGTGTTTGTAACGGGAAAATTAATCTATGTAACCTTTGAAACTGGCTAAAGCTCGTTGAAAAAAGTCATGTGCTATGAGAATCGGATATCTTTTAGAAGTGTTTACTGTGGCGACGCTGTTGTTATTGGGGAATGTAATGACAACCGTGTTTAATATGGTCATGCATGCGTGTGTGCACCTGTTTGTTTTACTGTGCCATTTAAACAGTATCGGTTTCATGTGATACCAACACGAACATTACTATACTATATCCTCGTGTGTGTGATCGCAGTGTACTGACACAAACCTATGTATGTGTTTTTTTTATAAAAGCTCACAGTTTATTGATCACATGTATATAGGTCGGCTATATCTAGCCGCTATACGATAGTTTAGAGGAAGTTGATAAGATTAAGCTAAAGTAACCAATCAAAACGGATATAAACCCGGTAAAGTGTAATGTAAATATTGAACCTGTAAATCTTGTCGTAAATTAGCTCCCTCGATAGTTATGTAACACAACGTGTGTCACGTGCGTCAAAAGAATCCTGCTATTTATAGACGTACTAAGTAATCATGGTAATATTTTATTATCGATTTGCCTGGTATCATCAAGGTTATCTTCTGTACTCAATGGTGTATACATTTGTATTTTTTTCATTCTGAGACATTGACATTTAACAAAAAAACATTTGCAGGGTTTATCTTAGTTTTAAAATCATGTATATTTTAATTATGTACACCAGTGATTTTTTTTTTAAGTTGAAAGTTCTAAAATCCGCAATCAATAAGATAATGGCCCTAGTTTTTTCGACCATCGTGCAAGGACATCTGTCGACATCTACTACAATTTTAAAGTAATAATGTTTTGTAAAAATTGATTCGGAACATTAAGAACATATTTTTTCAACCATTGGATCTTCGGGCAAAAGGTTTTCAAAAGTATTACAAGGGAACGAAATAAACCAGCCCCAAACTCATCATATCATTTTGTTTGTTCATATTGATTGTATTGGAGAAGTCTTTAAATACAAGTGTACTGAAATGGTTATTGGTTAATTCGATGAGTAAGTAATCAATTTCTACCACTCTGTTGGTTGTCTGGAAATATCTGTAAGGCAAAAGACGTGAGGTCCGGAAACAGTTGCAATATTCAATTTCTGCAAATAAAAATAACCTTCCTGACGATACGTAATTGGGGTGTGTGTAAAACGCGGTAGCTAATATCATTATTATTTCCCTTTGGTTGTTTCAACGATCTATCTCATTGGTGCATATCTATTCCAAATAATCAGGATGTTACAGTGCATCCTTGTTGGGAGTGGTGTTTCCTTTTTTTATTTGTGTATACATATGTTACAGGAAATATCTATGCCATGTATCGCGTGAAGAATCTGTATATAAAGAAATAGCGGCATTGATAAGAATAATGCTTCTGTTATCTGATCATTACGTGGCAAGCGAGTTTTGTGTAGATGGCATGTCCGGGTAGAATTATCAAATAATGTTGATAGGTTATCATGTTAAATTATTCATGTAACTGAACGGTTGTACGTGTATATTTGTATGTATAACCATGTACATTTATATGTATAACCATGTATATTTGTATCTATAACCATTTATATTTATATGTTTAACCATGTATATTTATAAGTATAACCATGTACATGTGCTTAACTATGAAAATTCAATTAATGTTCCTCATTCTCTTAAAGTGGATGTGTGTAAAATAAGGAATCCGCTATGTGATTCAAAAGGATTTTTTGACCATACCATTATTGAAAAAGTGTGTATTCCTTATCTTTGTCATTCATGTTTTATCAGATGCATATGTTCTCTGCGTTGCATTTTCTGAAAGTGAAAATGATTCAATCGAAAATAAATCCATTGAAAGTAATTGTCTTCCTTCTAAATTTTAACGTCATGCATGCATGTGTAATCTTCCTGGTTATAAGCACATGACATGCTGAAAATATTGTAAACAATGAGACATAGTTGGAGTAAAGGTGAACTTCCGGGTGTGTATGGTATATACATTTACACATCTTGTCATATTTAAAGAAAGGCAGTACAATATGTTTGACGACACTAAACACTGGATCATCTTACCTACACGATAGACCCGATGTCGACTGAAGCCTCACTTACTCTAGTATTTGCATTAAACATATCTTAAAATTAGGCATACCATTTGAAAGCATATTTCGTTGATTGATGAATAAATAGGAATTCTCAATTTTTTCAACTTAATTAGCTGTGCTATTTTTCAAACACGGGGTTTATCAAAGTCATGGACCATTTGAATTAAGCGTAGTACAATTAAAAAAATTATGTAAAAAAGAAGTGACTATTGTTTTATAATTATTATGTTGACGTTGGTAGAAAATTTCGTGATGCGTCCTTTTGCATAATTGACATTTTTGACTGTTTAATCTTGTCTTAGCTTACAAATATTAACCTATTGACACAGGCTACTTTATATAATGCATGTTTTAGATAAAATCATTGCAGAATGATTTTTAAGATGGCTTTCTGTACATATCTGGCTACTAGAACGTTTTTGTTTTAGACGTTGACCTCATTGCGAGAGTAGATCAAGATTCAAATATACATTGTACGTCTATACTATTGTAGATACCTTTGTTTTATTATATTTATCTGAGGACACCTATAGATTACAATTGTCTATTATGTTATATATCCACGGGAATGAAGTTATCTATCATATATATGTGACGGCCAATAGAGATTTACTGGACACCATTGCTTTATTTTACCAATGAACAAAGTTGTCGGTGGTGCATGAAGCAATTATCTGACATTTTTTGTTGGTTAATCCACAGGGTTACGCGATACCCTCTGAATTTTCTACATCACTGCCCCAATGCCAGTAGTCTTATATATATATATATATATATAGTATACCTTACCATTGTGCGCAAGCATTGATGCAAAAAATACTTCCTGGTTTTATAAATAGAAATGTTTTTCATTGTATCGGACTAAGATTTTTTTTTAGATTCTATCACCTTCGGTAATCTGAAACTTGTTAAAGGCAAATTTGATATATAAATCTTGTAGTTTTTACACAGTAAACTGACCAGAGTTTGCTCGATATTTACTGTATTACAACGTTATTGAATTGTGACGTCGTAATAAACAGGCCCGACGTAATGTAGTCTGACCGTAATCCGACAAGGATTGCGGTCAGTTATATGCGTAGAGTGCAAAAATAGTTGTTCTGTAAGGAGGAATACACATAAGATTCATACCAAAATAGAATTATAACTTTTTATTCAAACCATTACACTAGTGACAGACGAATATAACAAAACGGCAGAAATTTAATTCATCTATAATGACAAATGTTGTTACAAAATCTGTGTGTTCGCTGTTTTATTTTGATCATATATCAATCTATTTATTACAGACAAAACCAAGATGAGACTTACCAGTTTCGTGCGAGAAGTTCCAACGTCCCGTTCTCCCAGAATGATGTGAAGTTCATGGATGATTTCGTCGACAGAAATAATTCATCAGAGGGAGATCATCATGTTTTATCAACTGCACTTGCTTGGTCACAAAACGTTTCTGGTGTGAACGCTGATACCAGTTATGACCGAAACAGTGACCTCACGAGTCGGCAGAACTATTTCTCACACGTGCATAGGTCTGGCCAGATGGCCTCCGGAAGTGGAAGCGATTATAGCTCGGGATTTCAGTTAAATCAAGGCCGAGAGGATGGCTACGACTTCGAATTTGTTCTACCACGCGAAGACAAATATGACTGTCCGATATGTTTGTTAGTTCTAAGAGAGCCATACCAGACAGAATGTGGACACAGATTTTGTCAGAACTGTATAAAGCGATGGCTCAGGTTAGTGTTCTGATGTTGGTTATATAAAGATCACTGTACAGACGTAATGGAACATATTTGAACAGTATTGGTTAGGATAAAAAAAATGAAAGAGGTAAGGTAGTCTAGTGGTAGGACGTCGGGCTCGTGACCGAAAGGTTGCGGGTTCGAGTCACGTCACGGCACTGTTTTACTTTTAAACAAGAAACTTCGCTTGTTCCAGTCTACTCGGCTTTAAAGGGTACGTGGTTGGGCAGTGGTGGAATTGTTGAATGCTAGCTGTGAGCGCCGAAATTGGAGCACCGGCTGTATGCTCCCCAGGGAGCTGAAAAAGCCATTGGCTGGTTGCAAATGCCCTATGAATATATAACCACGGATAATAACTGGTAAACCGCTTTGAGACGACCTACGAACTAGGTTGTGATAACGCGGTATATAAGAACCTCGAATTAATTATTATTATTTAAAGATCATTCCCAAACAAATAATGTACTAGTTCAAGCGAGAAGATATTTAAGATAAAGTAACAAAGTCGGATATATCAAAGTAAGTCACGAAGTGTTGGATTTCCATAAGACGTACAACATTAATCACATAAATTCCATGGAATAATCTACATTGCAAATTTAAATTTTGAAATCACAATGACTCCATTCAACACCGAGTTATTTGACAGAGTTAGACAACAAACAAAATACCTTAGGCTCGGAGAGATGGAAAAAATCTCTCATAAAATCCTCTTATTTTGAGTGCAAACTGATATTTTTAATGGAATCTATCGAAACTTATGTACGACATAGTGCTTTCTTATTCCTTTTTTTTCTTGTAGTAAGAACTCTATAATATAGAACATTATTCTAAAATCTAAATACATAATTAATTAAGACAACAGAATCCCGATTCTCCTTTTAGCAGAACCTTTAATAAGTATTTACCAGCTGCATTTAATGATATGATTGATAATTTAGATAAATTTGGGACCCTAGAATCAGTGGTTTGTTATCATCAAAAGAGGCCACAGAAGCGACATCATTAACCAGATATTCACCGCAAGGACTCTAATAGTTACACCTACATTTATTACACATATTCATTGTGGCCCAATGCCTTTCTTTGTTGGTCCTGTTCCAGTTGTCATATATTTCGACCCAAGTTTATTTAGTGTCCTTGTGTGTTGACATTGAAGTATGATTATTTCTTTCTTTAACTGAAGCCAAGACCTAGAGCGATGCTATTTGACCAGTAGCAAGCTATGACGAAAGGCTGTCAATATTGTTCAAATAAGTGACCTTGACCTATTTTTGAAGATCACAAGGGTCAAATGTGATAAAATCTTTAAATAATATCTTCTTAAATATCAAATGGGTAAAACAAAAATCTTCTCAATAACCGAAAGGTGAAAGGTGATGAAAATTGACTAGTAGCTTGCCAATACAAAGGCCTAGGTTTGTTCAAGTGAATTACCTTGACCAACTTTCAATGTCACAGTTGTCAAACGTAAAGCCAAGGGTTCTGATTAATGTCCAGTATCATGCAGGGATAAAGTGCTACCAAGTTTATACAAATGTGTTAAAACCTTTTAAATAGCTCTTCTGTTTAATCAAGGGTCATAGGTGATCATATTATGGCTGTTGCTATATTTAGTCCATTTCAATATTTGACCGTGGTACATTTTTAGGATACAGATGTCTGGTTGTTAACAGAGGAGCGATACAAGCCCATTATGCAAAGAAAGGGTGATCAGGATACATGAAACGTCTGTGGACGGTGGCTCTTAACACCACCGGGTTACATTTGGAAAGGCATACTGCGTGTGTTGTGCGCGTAGTTGTTGGTTTGATTTCACTTCCTGGTTATTTTTATTGACTTGTTTTTATCATAAGATATTTTTGGCGCTGCAAATGTACCTTACTGCACACACTTTTAATCTAAATATAATTATATTTGTATAGCAGTATCTATTTACATTAGACTTGCCTTCTATTTAGAATCCTCATTCGATTTTTGTCAGATGGCTACAGTAAGCACCCGAAACTTCCTGGTTGATAATGTATAACGCTAAATAAATCTTCCTGGTTCACAAGTTTACCTTAGTATTTATATGTTTTAAATCCATAGCGAGCTATATACTATGGTCAACTAAGACTCAACGTGACTTCGGCATGTTAACAATAATTTGTATTATTGGCTGAAGGAATGAGATGTGCGTTCCCATCGGACAATAATGATAATACTAAACGTTCAAATCAAAAAAAATGTCTACTCGCGTGAATGAAGAAGCAAAAGAGGTGTGTTATAATAAAACAGAGCAGTGATAAGATGGATTAATATTACATGTGTTTGAAGAATACGTATAACTTTGTTTTCAGGGAGACGGAATCGGAACCACGCTGTCCGGTCGATAATGCCCCCCTGGGAGAAGGCCAGATATTTCCTGATAATTTTGCCAAACGAGAAATCCTAGCTTTATTAGTACAATGTCCCAATCACAAGGATGGCTGTGATACCCAAGTGGTTCTGAAGCAGCTTAAGGTACGATTTTTAAGTTGGTTTGATTTACCAATTTAACGGAAATAGCATTACTTGTAATCTTTGCTTAATGCTCGGCAAAGAACTGAAAACATTGGCATCCCCCTGCATCTCAACCGATTACGAATAGTAGAACTACACTGTAGCATGGGCAAATGTTGTTTCTAGTGCATACATTACTTATTGTTATAAAACAATACATCATGTATCGTGGCCACTTACCAAGTGACTACTATTGATCACAAACAGGTGGTTTTTAATACACATGTTCGCTATTACACATCAAAGGAGTATATTCAGGTTGTATATATTACCATGTTACATAATGTAACTGAGAGAACTGTATCACTTTTGTTGCAATTGTATCGATTCATTAAATACGTTCTTGGTTTATTACTTTGTCCGAAACTAAGTCATACTTCTTACATCACGTGTTAAGTATCGCGTAGATGCAGCGTCGTCGCGTTGATCTATTTAACCTACTGATAATGTGAACGAAGATATTTCCCCATTCATCGGCCAACTCCTGCGAGAGGGCGTGATTGCACCTTGAAAGTTAGACGGCTGATTTTGACTTTTCCGAACGCGTCACCAAAGAACATCCACAACATGCTCCATGGCCGACATGCCGGGTGATTTAGATAGCCATGCCAGTACATGAACATTCTTGTGCTGCAGAAAGGTTCTGCTGACGCGACTTGCATGCACTGTCGTGTTATCTAGTTGACTTTTAGCGTCAGCATCATGACCTTCGTGGTACAACCGCCCTAATAAATTTCGTGTCAATAACGCATCACATTCCGATTTCAAGGCAATTCGAGTTTAGTACAGTAACCACCCGAATACCATCCCAGACCATCTCGCTGCCACCACTAAAACGGCCCTGTTCAACGACGCAGCTGTTCGCAAAGCGTTCACTTCGATGTCATCAGAATCTACACAACTCATTACAATGTACCAAGAAGGATCTGGATTCATCATTTAAAAGAGACTGTGTGACTGGTCTAATTAAAGCGATTGTTACGGTTACGTTGTGTTAGGATAGGCCCTGTGAAAGAGTGCAACACTTTTAATCGGGCTACTTTCACAAAAAAAAACCCGTGTTGGGTAGTTTTGGCAAAAACCGGACGACCAAACAATGTTCGAACAGTCTGAACTCGTAGGAACAATGCAATAATGCAGATGCAACAACCGTATCCGGTAGTCTTCCAGAGTGGTCGTTAAAAGGGGTTTGCCGCTCCGCGGAGTTCGCAGGTCGACTCAGTTTATTTCAGATGATTTAAAACAGGCTTACTTTTTACACGCTGCAACCAATTTGTCATATGTTTGACACTCCGACGCCACCGGATGGAGCATGCCAACATCCCTTTTATCTGAACTTAACAGCCGCGGCATAACAATCGTATTGTGTTTTTAGTTTTCAGTCATCAAGGACTGACAGAAGAATAACTTATACATGTTTCATAGTAGCTGGTGTACTTCACGAACAATTTACAAAAACAAAACTAAAAACTATAAAAGGAGCTATTTGGGCACCATATACTTACTGATTTTAATGAGCAGGATGTCACTGGCTAAGTTCGAAAAGGTAGGGTTTTTTTCATCGATATATATGTATTCCGCAATGGGAAGTGTTTACCTTTCTTTTGTTTTGCTCTGTATATTGTGAAAAAGGACATTTCTTTTTGCGTTTTATAGATTTGAATTCACGTTGTGGAAAGTTTCGCGTTGGCTGCTGCAGTATATGGATATCGTAGAATGTCGATATGTTTGCTGGTAAAGTTTTTGTGACGATTCAGAAAAACTGAAATACAGGAAAAAATCCATTTGTAATAGTTTGCAAGTACCCATGACGTGTTATATTTCCAGATCTAGAATCGATGAAGGAGTCCCTAAAGTGTTATTTACTGTTTCAAAACAAAATTGTTTGTTCTGTTTTTAGAAACACTTGAACACCTGTGAATTTGCATTCTTACCATGTCCAAACCGGTGTAGTCATATGCCACTGAGAAAAGACCTTACCAACCATTTGGAGGAGATGTGCCCCTTACGGCTTCTGAAATGTCCGACCTGTCACATCGAGTTGCAGGCGGAGTATTTACAGGTAACAGTTGTTATTCAAGTAAACGGTGAAAAAAGGTGTTAAAATATCTCACATTTAAATAGACTTTATATGCCCACTATATGAATTAGTCGACCAAGGCAAAATATCGGTCATAGAAATGTTAACTGTAAAAAAGTCTTGCATGATTTGGATTTTTACTTATTTTTGTTCTTTTTACTACGACGCTTGGCTTTCGCTTCACATTGAATGACCAATAATCAGACACTTAATGCCTTCGATTAAGTTTTGGGGTGAAGTCAAAATCGTTTCAACCACGTACACGTCACAATTACTAGAGAAAGGGTTTAATCAGTTATTGATTGTAACCAATAGAATGTAAATATAGGTAAGTAAGTCACAGCCGTTCATACCTTTACAGCTAGGTTTCATATATTATATATACTTGGTAAATCGTTTATAGATAGGATTTTTCCAGATTTCTGATATTTTCAAGAAGTTATCCTAAAACATAATGAGATAAACTCATTGAATATATACTGTGTGGGTACTTTTAGGTCTCTGTTTATTGCATTTCATCAGTTAAAGAGCCCTTTATTCATGAATGTTTTCGAAAATATAGAATTCGATCAAAGATCCTCTCGTTGTACAATCAACAATTAAGTAATAGTGAACATATCTGAAACTATATGGATATGTTATGCATATTTTATTTAAATTATCTTGAACACTGAAGACTGGTTTTTTTTCTCCTCAGAAACATGTGGATTCATGTCCGTTGGCTAGTGTGAAATGCCAGTTTTGTGGGAATGAAGGATTGATTCGAGAACAGGTATGCTATATGTCCTAAACATCTATACTATCGTTATAGTACCTGGAACTTGATACGGATAGTATCGTATCAGGGCATTATGAGCTATCGTGATGAACACAAAACACAACACCAAAGAATTGGTAGTGTTGTGAAAGTGGAGCGTAACGGACCAAAAGATACTAAGGAAAGTGATCTCTGGATAACATAAAAAGTCTTACACTATAACGTCAAAACTCGACGACGAAATTGGAAATGAACGCCGATAAAAAATTGAAGGATTGCAAATTTTTCTTAACCAGTTACTATTACATTATCCTACATTTTCTATCTTTGACCTGTACTACCTCGTCGAATAGGAGTGAACCTTTCCGCCATTTCAACGTGCAGAGACACCGCTTCCTTCTTGCAGTTTTTGCACGCCGTTTTTGCACGTAGAACATACAATTTCGATTATGGATTTACTTAATACTTTTATACACATATTTTCTATTAATTCACTTGAACTCATGTGTTCAACACGAATTCTTTAGTGTAAGTAGCCTTCGGCTACAAGCTAACCGAGGGAATATGCGATAACTGGTTTTCTGTGATGTATTTTATATTGAAGTATTGTTTCATAGTGACCGTTTATCTCTTTGTATGTGTCGTGATATATAATTTTCGTGTTTCTGTCTTGAAAAATCGACGCATTGTCTCGAACATTTGACAAATCCCTTTGTCTGCACTCGCCATGACGTTTTTGCTTGTATTTCTGCATACCCTTGTCCTCTTATATACAGAACCTGTAAATGTTTGTGTCTTTTGGGAAACTTAACACTCATAACAATATCTTATGTTATTATTTAAAATGATTTAAATTTTAACACTGATGATATTATACCACAATATACCAATATGCTTTAGTTTTGTTTGGAGGAATTGCCCTAATCCTCTTTGGTGAGTTAATGGAGGTTTTTCTTTGTTATAGCTCCAAAGACACCTGAATAATGATTGTCCGAAGGCAGTGATTGATTGTGAGTTTAAAGAGCTCGGCTGTAAAGAAACGGTAAGTCACATAATTAATTGCCAAAGGTAACAAACTTGTTTTGCGCATCTCCGTGAAATGTAATGTGCACGATATTGTCACAATTTGTATGACTTTGAATTACCATAATAAACTTAAAAGTTCATCCAGGGATATAGCGTTTGGAAAAGGTCAGTAGTCTGTGACCACCTATTGTATACATATGGTATATATTTGCAAGAATCATTGTAACAGACGATTTCAATAGTTTATTGATGGTTATTTTTATGTAGGTTGAACGACAAGCGATGGCAAAGCACATGCAACATTGTCAACAAGATCACATGCAACAAATGTGTACAACAATTGTTTCGCTGGTTCGACTACTCCAGTTCAAACCTAGTACCTCATGTGACAGCTCACGCCAGTCCTCTACGCAGACTGGCCAGGGAGAGGAGGGAGAACAACAGTCTTCCTCACTAAACGCTTTATCGGGTTTGCTTCAAGCAAGCATGGTGTTTGGACCCCAGTTAGGACAGCAACTGCCCCAGTTACCCCACAGACTGAGACAGCAATTGAGTTCGGATAACACACTAAGCCACGGATCCTCCGAGTCATCTAGCAGTAGATCAGGCGAAGCGATGGGTCGAAGAGATGACGAAAGAATAGCCAGTAGTAGAACGCAAGTCATGTCGACTATCAGTATGACTTCTAATCACAACCCGGGTGTTGACCTTGAAGGCGCACCCATAGTACCCCTTCACCAGGATTTTGAATTCCAGTCACTTAAATGTCAGAATGCAACACAGGATGAGAGTCTGGCTAGGCATGAACAATCGTTAGTTGAAATTCAACAGAAAAATGACACGCTTGAACGGACTAATAGAGATTTAAGATCAAAGGTAAAAAATTTGGAAAGTACTATTGCAGACATTGAAGGAAGAACTTGCAACGGAACATACCTCTGGAAGATAAAAAACTACTCTAAATTTAGAAGAGAAGCCGAACACGGGGACACAACCGCAATCCACAGCCCTCCATTTTATTCCAACTTCTATGGATATAAGCTGTGTATTCGCGTTAATCTAAATGGTGTGGACAGTGCAAGGGGAACACACCTGTCCGTGTTCATTCACTTCATGCAGGGCGAGTATGATGATATTCTGGAATGGCCGTTCAGTGGTCGTATCGTGCTAACGGTGCTAGACCAGAACCCAGTGTGCGAGCAAAGACATCATGTTATTGAAACTCTTGTATCCAAGCCGCATCTAGCTGCTTTCCAGAAGCCCGTGACTCCAAGAAATCATAAAGGATTCGGGTACATGGAATTTCTGCCTCTTAACATCCTAGACAATTCAACCTACATTCGAAGTGACACTCTTCTAATCAAAGCATTTATTGTTAACAGTTCTACGTGAATTCCCAGTCATTGATAGTGATAACCTTGCGTTTCAAACGTTATCAGGTGGATGGACATATGTATTTAATTAATATGCGCGTTGTGAATTGAACTGCAATAAAATAACAGTGCCGTTAATTATTTGAAAGAATTAAGTGGTTCGGAATGTATTAGTGTTTAAATAATTAAACTTAAAATTCAATTTTTGAGTTGTGAGTTATTTCATTTGACGCTAACCGATAATTCCTTTTTCTGTGGTTCAAATATACAAAGTAATGACTTGTTGTTATACAAACGATATCTAAACATAATTAATTTCACCACTTAAAACGTGCTTTCATATTATTTGTTATTAACAACCATTGAAAGTTTGCAAAAACCTGTACTAACCTACCTATAGCATAACCTTCATTTCTGTCACAACAACCCAGTTTATATAGTTTACCTGACTCCAGTTTGTAATTGATTTTACTCGCGTGAGTGCAGCTTTCGTACTGTCTCAGAAGGTTGTTACGTAATGCTTTATCAACATTTTGAACCTTTGAAAAAACAAAATTCTCACAATTTGCAAAGCAATTTCTCATACCATAGTCCACTTTTCCGTTTTGATTTAAAAGCAGATGTGCTAATGCATTTCAAACGTTGATAGAAGAGTTCATTTTTATATAAATCTTTATTAGTTTGTTCAACATACATCGCTATTTTATTATTTAACTTCCTGTATCACTTCATACGAAATTCCTTTCGTAAAAGTATTCTGTAATGTGGTGCAGTGAGGTATATGTTATTACTGTAACCAGATCAACTCCAGGTGAGATATTTAACAGCTGATTATAACGTAAATTATTGTATGATGTAAATGTGAATTTGTTTATATAATGGCGATAAAATAATATTCTTTCGAACTGTCCTCAGTTTTCCCTCCCCCCCCCTTCCTCCCCCTC